GAGCTCACAGGAGCTAATCTGGTTAGTGCTGAGTAGAAAGGGGGAGGAAATGGGGTCAAATAGCTCCTGAACACATCCTAGTGGTCTCGGGGTCAACGGCCCTTCCTGATCCCTAACGCTCAGTGGGCCTCCGTGGCTGGCTCCCAACAGGGAAGGGAGGTGCCCCTCCCCCGAAGAGAGAAGCCCGAGGGGTGGAGGGTCTGCCTGGCACTCACCTGGAGGCACTTTCATCTCTCATGGAAACCTGCCACCGAGGAGCCTGGGGCACTCCAGCCAAGTGGAGAGGTGGCCAGTTGGCTTTGCTTTTCAATTTTAGCAGAACTGGAAGACTATAAAGGTTGCGTTTCTTGTTTTAAAAACTGAGATAGGATCTCACTCTGTCCCCCTTGTTGGAGTGCAGTGGCTCGATCATAGCTCACCATGGCCTCAGCCTCCTGGGCTCAGCCTTCCCAGTAGCTGGAATTACAGGCACATTTGATTTTTTGTACAGACGAGGTCTGGCCATGCTGCCCAGGCTTGTCTGAAACTCGTGGCCTCAAGTCCTCCTCCCACCTCGGCCTGATAGGTGTACAGTATTGTCTCACTAACGTATTTTTTGAGTTGAAGTCTCACTCTGTCACCCAGACTGGAGTGCAGTGGCACACTCCCGGTCACCGCAGCCTCAACCTGCTGGGCTCCGGCGATCCTTCCGCCTCAGTCTTCCAAGTAGCATTGCACTACCACGCATGGCTAATTTCTACAGGCATTGCACTACCACACACGGCTAATTTTTTGATTTACTGTAGAGACGAGGTCTCGCCAAGTTACCCCGGTGGGTCTTGAACCCGTAGGCTCAGGCAATCTACTCACCTTGGCCTCCCAAAGTGCTGGGATTACAGCTCACTAAAGTTTTTGATTTGCAAATCCCTAATGATCTGTGATGTTGGACATCTTTTCACATGTTTATTGGACATCTGTATGTCTTCTTTGGAGAAATGTCTATCCAAGTCTTGCTCATTTTTGAGTCTTGATGTTTCTTGCAGTTTTAAGCATTCTTTGTGTATTTTGGGTAGCAACCCCTTGTCAGATGATCTCCCACCACCTTTTTTTTTTTTTTGAGTAGGAGTCTCAGTCGCCCAGGCTGGATGGAGTGCAGTTGGCACACTCACGGCCACCACAGCCACGACCAGCTGGTCTCAGGTGATCCTTTTGCCTCAGCCTTCCAAGTAGCTGGAACTGTATATGTGCACTACTATGCCTGGCTAATTTTTTGATTTATTGTAGAGGCGAGGTCTCACCAAATTGCCCAGGCTGGTCTCGGATGCCTGGACTCAGGCAATCCGCTTGCCTCAGACTCCCAAAGTGCTGGGATTACAGGCTTGAGGATTTGCAAATTTTTTCTCCCATTTCAGTGAATTGCTTTTTTACTCTGTTGATAGTGTCTTTCAATGCAAAAAAGTTTTTAATTTTGATAAAGCCTAGTTGGTTTTTTCTTGTTGCCTGTGCTTTTGGTGTCATACTTAAGAAAACATGGCTAAATCCAAGTCAGGAAGCTTTTACACTGTCTTAAGAGTTTTATAGTTTTAGAACTTTTTGTATGTGGTGTTAGGTAAGGGTCTAGCTTGATTATTTTACATGTGGATATTGTTTGCCCAGTACCAGTAAATCTTGAAGTCAGGAAGTCTGAGTCCTTCAGCCTTATTCTAGTTCAAGATTGTTTTAGGCTGTTTGGGGTCCCTTACGATTCCTTACGAAATTTTAGGAAGGGCTGTTCTGTTTCTGCAAAGATTCGCTTGTCCTTGTCAATTTTTGACACATTGAGAGGCTTGGAGTTCATCTCATTCTTTTCCTTTCCCCAGTCCTGGATTCAGCCACCTCCTCCATCCCTTTGATGGCAGACATCATTCAGAACCCAAATCTGAGTGCCGAGTGTTACTGACGTGTCATCTCTAGGCCCCTGAGGCAACAGGGCCAGGAAGTCTGCCTGGGCACCCAGCTGTCTGTCTGCAAATACATTTAAAAGCCGCTTGTGCATCACAACGCCTGCAGCGCCTCATAGGGTTCCTCGTAGCCTTCCCGACCATGTCAGTCCATTCTCCAACACCAAGATTGTAACCACCTCCCAGCCATGCCAGCCACTTCTGCCTGTGCTCTTAGATGTCTGTTGGGGGCGCACTCCCCCCCCCCGCTTCAGATGCTTGTTGTCTACCCTCCACAGGAAGATGGGAAAGAACAGAACACTGCAGCCTTAGCAGTAATTCATAACTTCTAGTTGGCTGGTTCTAATTGGAGCAGCAGCACTCCAACAAGAAAATGTCTCCTTAATCTCAGATGATGTTAAAAAAGGGTTTCCAGGTTTGACAAGTTTATCACCGGGTGTGGTGGCTCACGCCTGTAATCCCAGCACTTTGGGGATGAGAGGATTGCCTGAGCCTATGGGTTCTAGACCTGCCTGGGTCTGTAGTTCCAGCTACTTGGAAGGCTGAGGTGGAAGGATTGCCGGAGCCCAGTAGGTTGAGGCTATGGTGGCCGGGAGCGGCCACTGCACTCCAGTCTGGGCGACAGAGACTCCAACTCAAAAAACTAAATAAAAATAAAAGTAAATTGTGAAGCTGGGGCATGGTGGCTCACGCCTGTAATCCCAACACTTCAGGAGGCTGAGGTGAGGGGACTGCCTGAGCCTGCAGGTTCGAGACCCGCCCGGGCAACTTGGCGAGACCTCATCTCTACAATAAATCAAAAAATTAGCCGGGTGTGGTAGCGCGCGCCTATAGTTCCAGCTACTTGGAAGGCTGAGGCGGAAGGATCGCCAGAGCCCAGCAGGTCGAGGCCGCGGTGGCCGCGAGCGGCCACTGCACTCCAGTCTGGGCGGGAGAGTGAGACTCCAACTCAAAATAAAAAAAAGGAAATTGTGAACGATGTGGAAGTTATAGCCCCACATCCTAACATAAATCTTGCTGTGTCTTCACCCCCTTTCCCACGCTGCCTTGCCACATGACATACCTGAACCGCATGCACAATGCAGCATCGGTTGTCACGCTGGGCTTTGAGGTATGCTTGGAACTCTGCCTCTCATGCTCCCTAGTTGGAGGGGCACGGGATCTGGCGACAGCGCCTCTACTCCTTCAGAGCCAGCCTGCTCCAGTCTGGCTGGAGTCCAGTGATGCTCATGGTGGATGTTAAGACTGCAGTACCCGCAGTGATGAAGGTCTCTTTCTGGCTTTAGACATCACTAAGTTGGACAGATTTGCAGGCAGCTTGTGTCTTTTGGAAGGAGGCTTCTTTTAAAATTCTTTATTTTTAGTTTTTATTATTTTATTTCATTACTTTTTTGAGTTGGAGTCCCACCCTGTCACCCAGGCTGGAGTGCAGTGGGATGCTCACAGCCACCGCAGCCTCAACCTGCTGGGCTTAGGCGATCTTTCCACTTTAGTCTTTCAAGTAGCTGGAACTACAGATAGGCACCACCATACCCGGCTACTTTTGATTTATTGTAGACAGGGGGGTCTCACCAAGTTGCCTGGCCTGGTCTTGAATCGGTGGGCTCGGGCAATCTGCTCACCTTGGTCTCCCAAAGTGCTGGGATTATAGGCGTGAGCCCCTGCACCTGGCCTATTTTAGTTTGTTTTTTTTTTTTGAGTTGGAGTCTCACTCTGTCGCCGACTGGAGTGCAGTGGCCGCTTCCGGCCACCGCAGCCTCGACCTGCTGGGCTCCGGCGATCCTTCCACCTCAGCCTTCCGAGTTGCCGGAATTACAGGCGCGCGCTACCACGCCCGGCTGATTCTATTTTAGTTTTTAGAGACAGGGTATCACTCTGTTACCCAGGCGAGAGAACAGTGGCAGTCATAGCTCACTGCAGCCTCAAACTCCTGGGCTCAATTGGCACTCCCACCTACCAAGTACTGGGACTACAGGTCTGTGGACTCAAGGGTCTGTCAGAAGCCTGTATTTTACCTCTTCAGATTGTCTTTTCTGTAACATCTGCCACCTTAATTGTTTGTTTGCTATGGCTGCCAAAACACTTCCCAAGTTAAACAGCAGGAGACACTCTGGTTTGGAAGCCACTTGGGCATTTTCCTGTACAAGCACTTGCTGATTGGTGACCCTGCACTGTGTGCTAAGTATATATATGCTCACCAGGTGGAGTATTAGACATGTGCTGACAACCTGGGAATGCATGCCTGAAAGTTCTCTGGGTCCGAGTAAGTTTTTTCCCTGGCTCCTTGGGTTTATGGACAAGCAATGCAAACATGGGGAAAGGGTGAATCAAACTTCTGCTAAGACTAGAAATGCTCAGAACTTCCCAATCCAGAGAATCTCATTATTTTTGGCCCACTGAGGGTGAGTGGCGATGCCCAGCTCCATGTTCCCTAATGGTCACAATTACTATTCTGTCCACCACCTCTTACACAACACCAAAGCTGTTAATTTCACGTCTTTGAAATATGATCCTGCTCGCCTTTGTGGCAAAGCTTAGACTTCTGTTCCCCAAACACTATCTTCACAATCTTTGCCATTGTTTATGTGCGACTTTAAGAAATTGATTCACTTTTACTGAGCTTTATCCTAAGCTA